TTTGAGACGTATAGTAAACCTGCCTCCCTTGTATACTTAACACCTGTCAGTCCTATTTGCACACATATGCCCTAGACAGAGGGGTAAGCATTGCTTCCTAAAAGCCAATCAGTTTTTTCAAGTACTTCTGCAAATCTGGACATTATACATTAATAATGCAAAAAAAATATCACATGGCCATACGATTACTTCACTTTCTGTGAAATGAAGTCACAAAATGTAGACTTCCCCATCCAGAGATTAGGACTACCTACCAGAAAGGCCATTTCTGCAACCAGATGTAGTGCACATATTAATTATTTTTCCTCATTTCAAAGGTTTAGATTTGGACTACTTTAAGGGCCTCTCCATATTTTGATTAATCAGAGAGAAGCAGAGAAGAATAAAGAGGGGACACTGGTCTTGGATCATTCTGGGAATACAGATCTCCTATGAAATCTATCAAGGATTATAGGCTTTCTCCCCTTTGACTCCACACAAGGAACAACCAGGTTCTTCTGCACAGAAACTCTCACTAGAGGGAAAACCTATCTCAAATTCTAGTTCCCATAAAACTGTACAAAGAGGGACTTGGGCTCAGGATGTCCATGCAAAGTGCTATACCAGTACTTATCTGCAAAACTGCCTTTTCTTTTTCTGGTTAACAAGCAAGGACATAACTGATGAAGATCTTTTGGCACTTGATTACAGATGACCCTCCAGAATGTCACAAAAGCCAAAAGAAATAGCAGCAATGAAAGACAACAGATTCGAAGATCAAGTCAAAACCTGGTTTTAAGCCTCCTGTAGGGGACAAGGAAGAAAAAAGAAGGATGAATATATGCAAAAAGAACACAAATGCTGCATATTCAGAACTTCTGCTGTGAAGGGTGGCATCATCTTCATTACTGTACTTCCCACCCCTTCAAGTTTTTGCCAAAGGTCCAATCCCAAAAGTAGTGTATGCCTTTAGATACACCTAGTTTGTAAGAAAACTAGTATATTTGAAATAATTCTCCTATATGCAACATTACCCTTTCAGTTTATGAACACTGGGTTTGCATTTTTCTAAACAATAGAAAACAACTTTCTCAGGAACAGTTTTAAACTACTCCCACCACCACAAAGTGTCTTACACTCAGCATTAAAAGAGTTCAACATTTAACAACTTAAATCATGCTGAGAACAACAAACAACATGTTTCATCTACAGCATATGCAGAGAAGCTGGTAGAATCTGTTAAGTTTTAGAGGAACTGCTATTTGTTTGCCGATTTTAGTCCTTTGTCATAACGCTGTATGCCACAAACCCCTAGCTCAGGTCTGAAGTTCTAGACCTATTCTACCTACCAACAAGACCTTTCTGATGCCTCTGATGGAGAACAGGGAGGCGGTACTTTATCTTGCCTTGGCTCCTTATTTTAAGTTGCTTTGTAAACTATCCTTGAGAAGATATCTGTAAATAAACAACTGCAAACATGAAGGAACCTGCTGTGGTACCTTTCATTAAAGCCATTATCTTTTCACAGTACAAAACAGAAGCCTATAATCAGTGACACAGAAAACTGGGAACATTCCTAGTAAAGGGGGGGGGAGGAACAGGGTGGATGGGACTCAGAAGCATTAAGCCTAGCAAGTGAACAAGAATGTATACCAGGTGGAAAAGATTGATACAATGAAAAGCAAAATGAAGTTCTGTAATAAACACATATATGAATAAATAACCACAATGAGACGCACAGAAAGAAACTCTTCTAAGCAATTTACTGCTTCTACCAAGGATTCCATTTCTAACATCACTTTTTCATGTATGCTGCACAGCACTGATGGCAACTACAACAATCACAAATGCAAATGTACATGGAATAAAAAGAGTCTATTAGACATGTAGTGCATAGTATGGAAACATTTAAAAAACTCACAAGCTAGAAATTAAAGAGTCAGTATATGAAATCGGGTTTTGCTTCTGGAACCATTAGTTCCATTTCCATCTAAAAAGGAAACAAACTGACAAGCCAAACCCTTAAAAGCTGCTCTTCAGAACAGAACTCAATAAAGATTAGAAAAGAAGGTTCAATTGTCATTCCACATTAGGCAGCCATGCCAATACAGTAGGTGCAGCCCTTCTGCCACACACCTTCCTAGTCCACTTGTTTCCATCACAGTGATGCCAGCACAGTTGCCCATTGCATCACACTATGATCAAGCTGAAGAACCAAACCAGCTGTGAAATAAAATGGTAAAAGCTGGGGGAGAAGCAGCTGTATTTTTCTGGCAGATTGCTTCCCTGATCCATTTCACTGTGCAGTTGTACAAACAGCTGGACTAGCAAAACAAACAGGATAATATAAGGATATAAATAACCAATATCTACTCAAGACATCATTGCTGCTGAAGAAACGTACTTGGACTTGCAACCTAAGTGAAAACCATTCACTTAAAAAGGTTCTTTGCTCAGTTCAATAAAAAAATTCTTAGCTAACTGGTTGAGCAAACACGAGACAATACAGTTGAAGCCACAGTTGCCCCCTGAAATGGAACAAAAGTCAACATTAGAAACAAAAACAACATAATGTTCCCGGGGGGGGGAGGGGAGTGGAATCTTATTCCATACTTATTTTCTATACTAATCGGAAATTACCACTAGTTTTTTGGGGGAGTTATTTGTTTGTTTTTAAACTAGGTGCCTTTTCCCCCTGTTCAGTATTCACTACTACAACACTAGTATCTTTCTGTGCAATTCCAGGCAAAGGTTAAATTACACCAGCTTAAAAAGGTTTGTTTGCTAAGCAATTTATTCACCTCAGAAAGACAAGGTGGACTTCTATACCTGCTACATAAAGTCAGTGAATCAATGCTTTGAGTTTTCTCACAGAAGCCTCACTTTCCTTGCATACTAGGCCAATACAGAAGGCCATTAATTATTCTCATTATCAGTCAAGATTTGCCTTTTTTTTTTTTTTAAATGCTGAAAATCACTTTACCTTCACATCACAACCTTCACATTCCTCTTATGTTTTAGAAAGGTAAATGATAAAACCCCTGCCTGTTTCACCAGTTTTCAAACTACTTCCAGGTGGTTTGTTGACTGTCCAGGAACAATCAGTTCTCTAGAAGTCACTCATTTTTACACTCAGATCACAGTATAGTACAACTTCTGTCTATTATCTATCCCAAGATGACTGTATTTTCACAATTTATTTTACCGTAAACATTACTCATACACATACATATTTGTAGACGCAGATACAGTTGGACAGCTGGCTCCATTTAACTCACTGTACTATAACTATACTAAGATAGTACATTCGTAACATTCAGTATAAGCTGACATAGTCACAAAAAGAAAACAATTTTCATCCTTTTCCCCATCTCATAATGCTTCCTTCCCTTGTGTTGATGAGAATTAGATGAACTGGAAATTCAGTTGGGGAATTCCATTTTAAAAAATCCAGTCCCAAAATGTTGGTCTGAACCTCAATCAATTCCCTGATTTGATTCATCACACAGGAGCTTGTTCCACATAAAGTAGAGGAAGCACAAGAAACAAGCCACCCTGTGTAAAACGAGGAGATGTTTCTTTCAGCAGTAATACTACCTCATACCAGCTCAACATGTTCCTTAAAGACTGCCAAAGCTGTATTACCTGCCGCTGCTAAAGCAGAATAAAAACTCATACGTCAACAGTTTATGAAATCCATCATCAAGACAGATTTCAAAATTAAGTCAAGATGAAATCAAAAAGTTACCTATACATTGTACGCAGCATTTCATGTAGTCACAGAAAAAAATCTTTCACACTTCTTTGTTTTAATTTTCCTAATTAGTATTTTTAGGGTCTTGTCTGATTGCCTCCCTCATTTAGATCAACAAAACCACAACATTCGCTCCTCAAGTTACATTTAAATAATTTCAAAATGCATACATGTAATATGAACAGCACCCTTTAAAGTTCTGATAAAGATTTTCTTTACTTTCATTAATGTCATCAACTAAACATTCAAGTGTGCTCAGTTACACTATCTGTCAAAACTTTGCAGATCAAGATACCTACACACATATTTTTAAAAACTTCCCACTAGAGAAATGTGCCTGTTTATACGTTAATGCCTTCCTCACACAATTTAGTGACTGTATAATCACTGCACATTGCATTAAAAATGCTTCAGCTTTGTTACAGAGCACAGTACTTCTATTCTGCAGAGGAGTAATTCATCTTGAATAAAGACTAACAATCCATTGGTGATCTGCAGATTACAATGAAGTCAAGCATTTACATTCTTAAACAGCAGACAATTCTAAGGGAAAGGTCTTCCAGTACCCCTCTCTCCCACTGCCAAAGCATCACTTCTTTAAAGCCCGAATCAAAACTTCTATTAACCATTCAAGTAAGGAATTTAAGCATCATCTACTAGAGTTCTATTGACAAAGAAACATAGATTAAGGTCTTAAATAGAGGCAGATGTAAGAAATAATCAATTTCTAATCCCATAAATGAAATTTTATTAACCTTTACAAATAACTCCAAATAACTTAGATGTGGCCTCACTCCTCCTCCTCCTTTTTTCAAGGGTCTGTTTCGAATAATTTTGGTGATCTATACTGTTCAGCCTGTTCTAGCAACAAAAATGAGTCAGGGATGCGGCTCAGGATACGTCCAGCTTAGGTTTTGTTCTTTCCACACACATTTCACACTTACTCTGGCTCACACTCTTCATACAGTCCTGTTCACAACATCACACCATGCCCAGGCATCTCTTCTCAAATCACCTTCATTTAATTCTGCATGACACCACCGCATCACACCTTTCCTTTACTCCAGCAGACTTTAAATGTACTCATTCCTCTAGTTTTGATCTCCAGTTTGATCTTTGTTACAAAACTCACAGTCTAGTAGCAGGAACCAATACATCACTTAAGTGAGAGAGCTTTTACTGTTGTAGGGAATTTTTTTTTTTTTTAACTGCTAAGAGAGAAGACAGTAAATATTTGAGAAATAGCAATAGAAGCAGCTTTACTTACCTTGAAAATACCAACCCAGTCTTTCTGATGAGGATGGATAAACTGGGTCAGAGTGTAGTGACATTCAAGATGTGTGTTCGGAAGATAACTTTTTGCCACATTTTGAAAAATCACATGTGCAAAATTGGAAGTCTGCAAAGTGTTAGCTGAAGACAGAACTTCTTGAAAGGATGTCATGATTGATCTGTAACAAAATTGTAGAAATTGCTACTTCAATATAGTGGAAAAATAAGTTAGAAAAATTCATCTATTTGAAATATACAAGACAGAGAAACCTAACAATTAGTTCCTCTGTTCAAAAAACAGATGGCTATAGGCTAGGTCCACCAAAGTGCACTGCCTCAGCATCACTCCTAAACAATCACCTCTCAGAATAAAAGGGCAGTCATTTCAGTGATGACATCAAGATGGAGAGAAAGGATTGCTTAGCTGAATGCCCCCAGTATTTTATCTCAGATACAGCAGCAGAAAGTGGAAAATAAAAGCGGTGGTGTGAAAACAAAGCAGGGTTCTAACTTAATGAAATATTCTTAATGGTTCTGGATTTGGCAGGGAAGGAGAAACAAAGCTCCATAGTTTCCCTACTTTAAACTTTTCTCAAAATCTGTACTGCTCAGTGCTTTTCACAGCATTTTATACACAAAGGTTTTTTTCCCCTCTCAGTAAAAGCAACAAAGTTCCATTTTAAGACATTTTTAAAAAACAAAGTTTATCTAAACAGAAGGGGTTTGTTTGGGTTTTGATTTTCTTCTTCTTCTTCAAGAGTTCTCTTGCCTCTGTTTAGCTGTCTGTGGGCATCTTTTACTGTTCTCACTGTAACACATATGCTCCCAGCCCTGCATGTTTAGCTTCATTACCATAAACAATGGACTTCAATGATAGCAGGAACATTTAGGTATTGTCATGGTTTAACCCCAGCCAGCAACTAAGCACCACGCAGCTGCTCACTCGCTCCCCCCCACCCAGTGGGATGGGGGAGAAAATTGGGAAAAGAAGTAAAACTCCTGGGTTCAGATAAGAATGGTTTAATAGAACAGAAAAGAAGAAACTAATAATGATAATGATAACACTAATAAAATGACAACAGTAGTAATAAAAGGATTGGAATGTATAAATGATGCACAGTGCAATTGCTCACCACCCGCTGACCAACACCCAGCTAGTCCCCGAGCGGCGATTCCCCGCCCCCACTTCCCAGTTCCTAAACTAGATAGGACCTCCCATGGTATGGAATACACCGTTGGCCAGTTTGGGTCAGCTGCCCGGGCTGTGTCCTGTGCCAACTTCTTGTGCCCCTCCAGCTGAAAAATCCTTGACTTTAGACTAAACACTACTTAGCAACAACTGAAAACATCAGTGTTATCAACATTCTTCTCATACTGAACTCAAAACATAGCACCATACCAGCTACTAGGAAGACAGTTAACTCTATCCCAGCTGAAACCAGGACAGGTATGCATGCAGTCTGATGGATTAACACTAATCAGTTGGACTGCAAATGCTTTTAAACATGCTTTCCATTCACCACCTCATTCAGGATACATAGTGCTAAAAAATTACAGCAATGCAAGATGCTTCACAAGCAGAAGAAGAATGTCCCTTCCTCAGATTTGGCAATATCTGCCAAAAATGTAAGACGGACAACTGAGAAGTTTCAAGTGTTTGATTTCAACATACTGTCACAGGTTTGTCAAAACATTTGACATTAGAAGGATTGGGGCCTTAAATATCTAACACATTTCTAGAAAAATGAGCCATCCTATTCTTGCAATTGCTATTAAAAGTAATTTTATACTGACCAAGCAAATGCACACCTTGAATAAGGTAACTGCCAAGTGTGTGACGTAATATATTACGTTTATTGAAGATACATGTGGAAACCAATCCCAAAAAGGGATGGGCCACTGCAAAGCTCAAGAAATTCAAAGCTTAAAGGCTGTCTCTGTATTTGCCACAGCCTTTTAAAATTTCTCTTCACCAGTTAAAAAGTAATTAGCTCATGTTTTCTGAAATAAAATGCACTCTGAAGTAAACAGGTATTCACCATTCACAACAAGGAAAAGGTAAACAGGCTTTTTAGGCTTAAGCATATTACTGCCCAATTTAGTGTAACATATGAAGTACACATAGGCAGCCATGACATTATTTTTATGTATCAGATGTTAAATAAAAAGCATTTTTGTACCCTGAACAACACAAGTAATACGACAAAATGCCAAGCTTGCAAAGATTAACAGATATGAAGGACAAAAACAAGAACTTCTACAAGCAACAAACTCAGTAAAGATCAAAAGACAACTTCTGAGTCACAATAGGGTACACATAAATCCTATCTGTTATCTAGCTTCAGAGTCCAGAAGAGCATAGGAAATTTTATGGCATAGTAAAACCCTGAAAACTCCCAATCCTCTCAAAACAGAGGATTACATTTAAGATAGTTCTCAAATCCACTCTGAACTATAAATGGTATGAAGCAGCAGTTTCTACGATTCTAAAAGAAATAGAATAGCCTTAATTTTTTTCGAGTGCCACAAAATTCATTCCTTTTTAGTAATTTAGAAGTACCTGAAGCCAAATAATATTGACATGAAACAGACTGTTTCAGTTTTCATTACCCACGATAAGCACAAAAAGAGCAAACAGAATATTAATAACAAAAACAACTCAACTTTTTAAAATAAGTCTGCTTTAAAAATTAGGTAGTTTATTCTAAGCACATATTAAAAAAAAAACAAAAAAAAAACCCCCACACCAATAAAAACCCCCAAACATTCATTTCTGCACACTGGTTGCCAGCTACCACGGCTGAGTACTAGCCTTAGTGAAACCAGTAAAGAGATGCTCGTTTCCAAGCTCAAAGCAGAACTATTCACAAATCTGAATTTGTACAGACCAGCAGAATCATCTGGGATTACTGTTCCCCAGCAGGAAAATCCCCGGAGCTTAGGTGAAGCTGAGATCTACTTACAGTTCAAGGATAGTTTAGGGGATGCTGGGTGCTTGCTTACTTAGCTTACAGCTACCGGTTGGGAAATAGGAGAGGAGGAGGAGAAGGCGGAAGAGCTACGTTTAGGCTTCATTACTGACATGACAAGCGATTCCCTCTGGGAGGCTGAACGACGTGTTCGGTTTTACGCACCGAAAAGGACGGAAGGAGGAAAAGCTCGTCAGGCAGGAAAAACAAAAGCAGGACGCGCCGCACCGCCCCAGCCAGCTCCTACCAGAGTCCTCCAGCTGCGGTCCCGGCAGGACGGGGCGCACCGGACAGCCCCGGCCTCCACCTGTCCTGCCTTCCCCCGCTCCGCGGGGCCGGCCTGCGGCTTGCCGCCTCTCCCCCCTTCCCTGCCCCCCCCTACCCCGTCAGCGGCCGGCGCGGCCTCACCTGCCCGCCGCGGATCACCTTTGCTCCGGCCCTCCGCAACGCGCTCGCCGCCGCGGCGGGGAGGGGAGCCCCGCCACCTCCCGCAGCACGCCCGCACGG